CCCCCAAAAATGAGAACATCAAATGCTTATACTATTTCTTCTTCCCTCCCTTCTCTCCAAATTTTTGTTAAATTACATTATTTTTACATTATTATGAATTGCAATATTATTTTCTCTATCTAAAATTACTAAAGTGACTTAGCTTTGGTTCTATGGCTAAAGAGATTCAGTATTTATCACTTTTTTTAGTCACATATTCTCTATTGGTCTCTGGAAGACTCACTTTTGCAATCAAGTAGTTTAACTCACTTCTTTGTGCTTATATCCCTGATTTCTTACATCCTTAAGATTATATGTGTCTGTTGCTTTTATATATGAACAAAGTCTTGATTGGGTATAAAAGTTCCCTATTTTTTCCCCAAGTATAGTATAGAGATCCTTTAATTATACTGTAGTATTGAATGTTGTTGTGATAAATTTTTGAGGGCAGCTTGAGTATTCCTTTTTATAGATTAGTTGAATTTTTGCCTGGATTCTCACAAGTCACTTTCTTTGCCTAGCTTTACCCAAGCATGCCTTGTTGACTATTCTTAATCAACTTTTCCTAAGACCCAGCGTGCCCTTTTAATCTTAAGATTCAGGTCTATCTTTGCACTTTTATTTTAGAACAAGTTATATTTAGTTTCTTTGCTATCATGGAAATGAATCAGCCAATAATTTTCACTGGGGTAGCTTCTAGTGTGTATCTTTTTTGCTTGACTTTCATTTTCAGTTTCCTGTTTTCCTTGCAGTATTTTTTTTAATAGTTTGCATACTGGTTTCTTTTTTGGTTATTCTTTAAATGAAGCCCCCTTTTGGAATGAGCTCATTACAAAGTCAGTTTGGAGTCTGATTGTTGTTTACCTAGATTTTTCTTAGCAACACTCTGCCTTGGGTTTGTAACAGTAACCCTGATGTGTAGTATGCTTTTGACATGGATTATATGGATGGCCTGTATGTTACAGACCCTGGGTGTAGGGATTTAGCATTTTGCTTTCTCCAGTGGAACAAAATGATTTGCCAAAATGGCAGAGACACTTGCCATCTAATTTTTCATCTCTTTATTGCTATACTGACAGCCTGCTTCTTACAAACATGATCAGTCTACACACATTTCATCACCCAGTACCATCTATTTTGCCATTCTACAGTTTTAGAGGGGACCTGGGGACTTGCCAGTAGCTCTTTAGCACACATACTCCTGTGCATTCCAGCAAGGGACACTCAGGTTACATATTGCAAGGTGCCAAATACTCAGAGTCAACAGGGTTCACCTATCAACACTCCATTTCTTTCATAAGCCAGGTCCTATCACATGTGGCTGTGACTATTTTCTAAGCATGTCAGGAATTAAGGATGTTGGTTTTTTGTTTTGTGTCTCGGTGTTTTAGTTAGTTTCATAGAGGAAACCAAGGCAGATATGCCTTTAACTAGCTAAATATGGATTTTTAATAATTCTACTTTCTGTCAAATATGTATAGATTGTTAATTAAATGCTCTCTGGGGACTTTATTTCTCTGCAGGTGTTTTGTTTTACTGCATTTTACCAACTAAGCGGCATTATCGCTGTGCTCTGATTGCCCTTGAACATGGTGCAGATTTCAACAATTCTACCTATGAAGGAAAGCCAATATTCCTTAGAGCTTGTGAAGAAGCACATGATGTTAAAGATGTATGCCTGACACTTTTGGAAAAAGGAGCCAATCCCAATGCAATCAATTCAGTATGGCTATTCTTGTGAATACAAATATTTCTTGTTTCAATTACAGCATAGTATATAATCTTTGCATTTAAATATGATGACATAATCCTATTAGCTTATAGACTGTTCATTTTGATTCAAAATGCTTAAAAATGGTGTACCTTTATTATCTTCATATTGCTATGATTCTACAGTCTGTTTCCTAATTATGTTTGGAAATTTGGTATTTATTATGCATAATGTCAAAGTATCAGTATAGGGAATAGTAAATAAGGCATCGCTGATACCTAATAAGATATATCTTTTTGGAAAGAAAATATATAGTTCTGCTGTTCCCTTTTTTTTTGGAGACAGGGTCTCACTCCATTGCCTGGCTGGAGTGCAGTGGTCCAATCTTGGCTCACTGAAATCTCTGCCTCCCCAGTTCAAGCAATTCTCCTGCCTCAGCCTCCTGAGTAGCTGGGATTACAGGTGCATGCCACCACTCCCCACTAATTTTTTTTTTTTTAATTTTTAGTAAAGACATGGTTTCACCATATTGTCCAGGCAGATTTCAAACTCCTGGCCTCAAGTAATCCACCACCTCAGCCTTCCAAAGTGATGGGATTATAGACATGCCCAGCCTACTTCTGCTGTTTCTTACATCAATTTTATTCACTCTCCTTAATTGGCTAATTTTATTAAGTTTTCTTTTAATTGCCCTTTCTTGACACCAAAAATAGATTTTCTTCTCATTAGAAAACACCTGTGACCTAATTTTATATTAGGTATTGATATTTTATCTCTTTTTTTCTCTTTTGTTCTGCTCTATTTGCAAGAAATACATTTTTAGCATGATATTCTCACAGGGGCATACAGTGTGACCTTGACTCTGATTTCAGAATTCTGTGTTTTAGATATTGACCCATTGTACTTGTTTAATTTTTTCTCTTTGTAATAAGAGAAATGTAGAGAACTAAACTTGTAAGTGTAAAGCTAAGGTTAAATGGATTCTGACTGTATTTGTACTGATTCTGCTACTTAATATGATGGGTGTAAACAGCATCTCATCTGTTTAATGTCCAGTCCACAGGCCGCACGGCTTTAATGGAAGCATCAAGAGAAGGGGTAGTGGAAATAGTTCGAGGCATATTGGAAAGAGGAGGTGAAGTGAATACATTTGACAATGACAGGCATCACGCCGCTCATTTTGCTGCTAAAGGAGGCTTTTTCGATGTAATAATCAATTCCTTGCTTTAAAATTTGTTGCTAAAACTTTTCTGTCCCTTTTCTCAAAATGTTTATGTGTCATATAGATTACACTAAGGCAGACTTTTTTTCTGAGTTGTCTATGTTGTTTTCATCTTGATTTCCCTAAATTACTCTAAAATTATATTTTTTAAAACTTTATCTCTTTAGTTTTATGTGTTTGCAAATTTACTTATTTAATATTGTTAATAATATTTTTGCTGTGCACTTGATGATAATAATTGAAAATTCCTGCCACCTGGGACTACCATATTTTATGCCTTCAGTACATACTAGGATCTTCAAAATGTAATATGATCTAATTATGGGAGAACAGTGCCCTCATACTCTTATGTCCATGGTGCTTGTGTGTATTAGATAATGATATACCTGAATGTTAAACTCAAGTATTCTGATTACCTAAACATACAGCAAAGAATATCTCTTGATACAGTAACATTGCAGAAACAAAATAGGAATTAGTACTATTTTTTTTAATTCTGAATTTCATCTGAAATTTCTTTACTTAATTTTCTTCAAGTTTTAACATAGTTATCTTCATTTATATCACTATTTTCCCAGCAATAAAAGTGTACACAAAAATAGAAACCACATTTGGTAAAGAATTTCCCCCTGGATGCTGTTTCCCTGCTCTCATGCTTCCTTAAATTACCTACACTAACAAAAATGGTAGTGCTGCGTCTAAGCATAGAGTTTTCTCTGCTCTAGATCAATGCTATTTAAGTGATGATGGACATATTCTGTATTTGTGCTATACAACAGAGTGCAACACAGTGTCCATGTGGCTTTTGAGTACTTTAAATGTGGCTAGTGAAAAAAACGAATGAAACTTAAATATTTTCAATTTAGTTCATTTCAATTTGAATGTTCAATAGTCATGCATGGCTAACTGATAATATACTGGATAGCGCAGGTCTACTTGCCAGTCTTTATGTAATAAATATACATTTCTATTCCTCCACAATATCCATTATTTATTTTACAGATATTGAAGCTTCTTTTTGCCTACAATGGAGACATGGGACTGATTTCATTAAATGGGAACACACCACTTCATTATGCTGCCATGGGTGGTTTTGCAGATTGCTGTAAATATATAGCTCAGCGAGGTAAAATTGTCTAGCAATTTTGTGCTTAAAGTATTTATGATTTACCCATGTCATAGAGTAGCAGAGACTTTGGGCCTATCACTTAGTGGCTTATTTTTTCTATAGCAAAATTTCACCCATATGTAGAAAGAAAACTGAAAATTATTTTTTATACTACCCCTCTGTTAAATCATGAATCTGGTCTTAAAAGTGATAAAACCCATTTCTCCAAAATGTTTAGGCTATCGTTAAAACCTAAAGGGGATTGTTCCTGAGCCAACTAATTATTAAAATACTTACGGTTGAGGGCAGGTTGTAGTGGCTCACGCCTGTAATCCCAGCACTTTGGGAGGCTGAGGCAGGCATCAGGAGTTCAAGACCAGCTTGGCCAACATGACATAACCCCACGTCTACTAACAGTGCAAAAAAAATTTGCTGGGTGTGGTGATGGCACCTGTAGTCCCAGTTACTTGGGGGACTAAGGCATGAGATTCACATGAACCTGGGAGGCAGAGGTTGCAGTGAGTCAAGATTGCACCATTGCACTCCAGCCTGGTGGACAGAGTGAGACTCTGTCAAAAAAAAAAAAAAAAAAAAAACCTGATTAAATTCCCTATTTTAAAAATGCCAACAACAATCTAAAAAAGGACATACACTGAAAACCATTTGCTTTCATCTGAATTTTTAATTATTTTATTTTTAAAAATATTCCATTATATCAAATACAAAGATAACTTTTCTGGGTAATTTGCAGTTATGGGGAAAATAATTTGAGGGAAAACATGAAATGAAAACCTTCATGGAAAATTTGAAATGTAAGCAAAATTTTTAATTTTTTATTTTCCTGTAGCTTTTAAGTATTAATTTAGAAATATGAATGATATCATATATAGCTTAATGAGTTTCTTAAAATGAAAATATTAGTTAATTACATTTAAGGATATGAATTAATTTTTTGTTAATTACATGCTAATTAAATGCATATTAAAAGCTTTTTAACTGTTATCGATAGAACTGCATTTTGCAGAACTGTAGATATTTTTCCGAGTTTATGAGAAATAGGCAAAAACTTAAAGTCTAACAAGTCTATAACAGACCAAAGAAAGTGTTTTATTTTTCTGTCTTCCACAGACACAAAATTTTAGAAGTCACTAAAATTATAAGACTAACATGCCCACGTAACTATAATCGCATAAGAACAGATCCGTTTTTACTTTTATAAATGTATACTTTCCCTATGCCCCCAATATAATAAACCCTTTTGCAAATGAGAAAAAAATATATCAAATGCAATTTTGGTTCTTTCAAACAGTCTTATTGGTTTTGTTTTCAAATCTGTCACTATTAGCAGTTTATTTTGGCATTGCAGTTAACATTGTGTGTTTCTAAAAACTAAAGATCCACCCAGCTTGAGACAAGCTTCTCTAACTTTAATATGTTGACTTATTTCTTATTGGCACAAATGTCACACGTACTCTATCATTTATGTATTCCTGGAATAACGTCACAGAAAGCACATTGAGAAGCCAAGGACCAGAGCCTGGGTCATGCAAAAAGGCCTAACTCAATGATGCAGAAAAGATCCACTTTCCTAGAAGAATAAACCATGAGGCTATTTTAAAGCAAATGTTTGAAAATGTTCTGAGTTCTCTGCGTATTTGGAAATATAAACACGTCACCAGATCCTATGTGGGTGACCCAGTTTCACAGCAGAAGTGTTGTCAGTTACATTTCCACCTTTAGAATCTTACATCTAAGGCAGTCAGAGCAGCAAGAAACCCTTGTCGATAAAATGCTTGTTTCTGAATAAGCTCCCTAGGTTTAGTCTCTTCTGTACCTAATTGTAAACCAACCACTTGTGCTGGCTGGATTCATTTCTCTCACATTTCCTCATGATGGTCCTCTTTTGGCCCCTCATCCTCCTGCTGGAGCAATTTATGACTCCCCCTGTAAGCACGTGAGAGCCACATCCAAGGGCAGAGGAGGGGAGCTCGGGGATTCCTCCTCCTCTTCCTGGGCCCTCAACTTCCTGAGTTGTGCAGCAGCAGCGAGCTGGAAGTTGAACATCTTTACCACAGAGGAACATAAATCTCACAGAGAATGAATGGATCTTTATTTATTAATCATAAAGGAGGAGACAGGAAGCTCCAAGTCAAAAGGACAGGAAAACTGCATTTACCTCCTTAAACTGGGATGTTGGAGTCTTCTTTTATACACATGGAGGTTTCTAACCAGGAGGAAGTTAGAAGCTACAGAGGATGAGCTAAAGCAGGATGAAAATCCTTTGGTCCTTAGTGCTGAGTGAACACAGAAGAAGTGGCTTGAAAAGTGGGAGCAAAAACCCCCAGACACCCTGAATAAGAAAAATAAATAGCTAAGTAGAAACAGCATATCAGAATTACTATGGAATTGCACTGTGGAATTACTCTGCTATGGAATTATGCTATCAAGTCACTGTTCTTATAGCTGTCCAATAGAGAAATTTTGGAATCTTTATTGTCTCAATAGCCTTTTTTAGTATTTCTATTACTAGTAAAATTATCAGCCTTAGTATAAAAAGTGTGTGTGTGAGTATGTGTGTGTAGTAAAATAGATTTTTTTGTTTTTTAATTTTTATTTTTTTGTGAATAGTATATATATTTGTGGAGTATGTTAAATGTTTTGATATAGGCATACAATGCTTAATAATCACATCCTGGAGACTGGGGTATCAATCCTCACAAGCATGTATTCTTTGTGTTAGAAACAATCCAATTATACTCTTTTTGCTATTTAAAAATGTATAATTATTATTGATTATAGTCACTCTGTTTTGCTATCAGATAGCGGGTGTTATTCATTCTTGGTTTTTTTTTTACCCATAGTATAAAATTTTAATTTTTGACAATACCAAGGCAACTATTAATCCTGAAAAACATAGTCTGACTACTTCTTCAAAGCCTTACTTACACATACAATGGATTTTTAATGTCTCAAAACACTTATTATAGACAACACAGCCTTTTTGGTAGCACTAAGTGGATTCCCTAACATGTTCAAAAAAGTGTAATTCTTTGGTGAATATTTACAAATAATGTTGGTCTCATCATTTTGTTAAATAAGGGACCAAAAAAGAAAATGAATTTTAATGTCTAACTTGCACATACATAAATATAATGCTGAACTCCTCAGACTGAATTACAAATTACTTTTTCCTCTGTGAAGGTTGTTCACATGGCCGTACCACAAAATAGCAGATTAGCATAAATTACATTATTTAATGAAGAATATAGGAAAAATAGACTTTAAGTTTGTACACAGATTTACAGTCGAAATCATTCAAAAGGACATGAGTATTCTGCTGCTTTTCAGATCTGAATTCATAAGGTCCTAGGTAAGCTGTTTGAATCCAGCTTCTTTCCAAATTCAAATGCATCTCTGATCTTTTCCTATTGGCCTGAAGTCCCCTGAGCTAGTGTACCAATATGGTATATGTTTCAAATATCTCTAAGGATAAATATTCTAATCCTTTTATAAATTCTTATCTTCTTCAGAATTCACCAAAGTGATGCTCACAGAAAAAAATCACAGCTCAACTTTGTAATTATAAAAGCAAAATGTGTGCATCTTTATACACATATAATTTGGGGACACATTTTTGACGAATCACAAGAAATTAAGAAAACAGTTGGATGAATGTCACTTATTAGCCATGCAGATGCCTTAGCACCATTCATAATTATGATGCTTTATGTTTTAGGATGTGACCTGAAATGGAAGAATTTAGATCATAAAACACCCAGGGCTGTGGCTAAGGAAGGAGGCTTCAAAGCAGCAAGCAAAGAAATACGCCGAGCAGAGAGAATTGCCAATAAACTAGCCAGGCCAGGAGCCAAAAATCCAAATCCACTCTGGGCCCTTAGACTGCACGATTGGTCCGTAGAACGTGAGGCTTTCCTCCGGGAAGCCTTTTCTGCTGTTGACAGGGGTGATGGGAGTGTCAACAAGAATGACTTCGTGATGGTGTTGGAGGAAAGGCAAGATTATGCAAGCTCAGAGCAGCTGGCTGCCATCGCCCAACTTCACGAGAAAATCCGGGGAGGAGGAGTCAATATTAATGAATTCTTTAAAGGAACCAGATATTTAAGCAAGTCTTTTGTTTTAGGATCCTATGGACCTAAGAAAAAGAAAAAAGGGATGGGCAAAAAAGGAAAGAAAGGTAAATTTGTCTTACCCCTTCCAATCTGTGTCATTCCTGACAACGCATTTCCACGCCGGCAGGATGGTGGGCCACCGTATTACATGATTGAGACCTACAAGAATGTCACTGATAGCAGCCGGTTTAACAGAGATCATCCCCCAGAACATCCCATTCAGGATGACTCTGCTTGGTACATTGATGATTCAGAGAAGGCATTTTCAAACATTAATATTATCACCAAGGCAGGGGATCTGGCTTCTCTGAAAAAGGCCTTTGAATCAGGAATACCTGTGGATATGAAGGATAATTATTACAAAACTCCACTAATGACGGCGTGTGCAAGTGGAAACATAGATGTGGTCAAGTTTCTTCTTGAAAAAGGGTATGCATCTCAGAGAGTGGTTTAAATTTTCATGAGTCTTTTCATACTTCAAGGAAGTAAAAGGAAGACATTAAGAAACATTTAGTTCCAGAATTTTTGTAACATAGAAAAGTGCTACTTTATTAAAGTCTATAATGAATTAAGGCTTTAATATATAAAAGCCTTTTATTAATGATATAATAATTAACTTATAGGCTTCATTAAAGAATGCTATTAATGCTTTATTAAAAATGCTGATATAGGCTTTAAAGTCAATAAAATGCCCTATAAAAGGTATCATATTATTGATGGTCAGAGTTAGAAAAGGAGAATTTATGTTAGATTCTAAGCACCTTTATTAAAGCCTGTAATAAATTAATTACGCCTATAGACCTTATATGGGAAACCAGGATAATGGGAGCATAGGATTGTTCGTACACAAGGATATTTTGCCAATTATGCACAAAGTGAAAGCCAGTGTTTACTCAGGGTTAACGGAGTCTTCTGATTACTACTGGCCTTCTGTCAATGGCAGCACAGCTCAGTCCTGTCTCAGAGCTTCACCTAGAAGATGTGAAGTCACTTTTTAATCTGCCTCTATTTGGGGGATCTCAACAACTTCAAACAAGTGGAATGGTGGCTATAATAACATGTTTTGGCTCTAAAACTTGCTGCCTTCCTCCAGAATGGGGCAGTCTTTTCTCTTGTCATGTAAATATGTCTAAACTATCAATACATGCCATATTTATAATACTTAACTTTTTAGACTACAATAATCACTCAGGTTTAATTCCTTCTTCTTCCATGGTTGTATTACCTGGGGTGAGTTTCTTAACATTTTTGTGCCTCAGTTTTCTCATGTATTTACATCATGAGACTGTAGTGGGATTCATGCCACAAGATTAGTTGAAGATTAAATGAGTTAAAGTATGTAAAGCATTTACTAACACAGTAATTGCATCCTTGAGAAATAAAGTATTAATCTGACTAGTACTTTAATGTTAAAGAAAGACTCAAATTTGTATATTATCAGGAGAGCAACTAATGAGAATATGAACTTCTGGACAGTGAATTTCTAAACAGGACTAAAATTTTAAATAATACATGGTAATATTTAGAATTTTAACAATGAAGTTTCATTTAAAAATGTATTACGTGAAGAGAAAGTAGATACAAAATGGAATAATATAACTTTAATATGTCCTGTCAGCTTTTATCTTCATTGGCTCTAGTTTATAATTTTCCTTGATTTTAACCTTTGCAAAATTGTAATCCCTAGAACCTAAAGTGCCTTTTAATGTAGATATACACAAAGGAAGTTAAAACTCTCAAATAATGCAGAACAAAGAGGTTTGAAGAAAAATTGTGGCACAGAGTTCACAGTTTAACAACTTGATGAAACTCTATTATAATCTTACTTTGCCTTTTCAGTGTCCAGTCCTTGGAACAACCAGTATTTTCAGTTTGTGCATCTATCTTATTTTATAGAGCTAATGTTAATGCAGCAGATAATTTTCTGTGGACTCCGCTTCATTTTGCATGCCATGCAGGCCAACAAGACATTGTTGAGCTTCTTGTTAAATCTGGGGCTTTAATAGATGCAGTTTCAATCAACAATTCAACTCCTTTAAGTAGAGCCATTGAAAGCTGTAGACTGGATACTGTGAAATACCTACTTGACATTGGTGCTAAATTCCAGCTGGAAAATAGAAAAGGTATGTGTTCATATTATTGATGATTAGGGTTAGAAAAGGAGAATTTATGTTAGCTTCTAAGCCCCTTCTGATTCTATTCTCATAGGCTTGCATTGTCCCCTGGGTTCCTGGTGCAAACACAAGCCTGAGTTAAATGTTGCGAAAGTTTGTCTTATACCAAATACCTCTCGACTCACTGGTGTTGGAGGGCCATTTCTTTGTTTGCAGTCTTTCATGGACTGAAAAACTTTTGTAAAATACAATAAAAATGATTTATTAGAAAAATAAAATGAAAAAAAACAAAACAAAATACGAGGCCAAATCTTCTTTTAATCTTTATATTTTAATGACAGAAAATTATATTAAGTTGCTATAAGCATTTGTAAACACTTATTTTCTGTAGTTACTTCACTATGGATCAGTAACTATTAGTTTGTAAATTTGCGCCAGTTTGCAGATCACACATTGAATTATTACACTTTTATTACTGTTAATTCCTAATAATGACCTACTCTAAAAACTCAGACTCTATAGAATTTGGATTTCTTAAAGCTGGACAAAATAATTCCTGAATTGAGGCTTCCCTGACTCTAGGAAGTAAATACATGGCCTTGGATCATCAATACCATACAGGAAAAATTTTAAAGTCATTTGAATATATTTGAGCTCTGGTTTGGAAGTATCATTTTCCTATTTTGGAAGCCACTGCTTGCTTTGACTCTGAGTGGGCATTGTACCTCTGGTTGGTTCAGGTGGCCTCTGACTCGCAGGTACTACTGTACCTGTCCTGCCTGATGATATTATGGGTAACATAATGCCCAGCCATCAGCTTCCCCAGGCCTTTTGGAATTTACCTCCTTACATCAAGGAAAGGGGAAGATAGTACAAAACTGTCACACAGAAGGAAATTTGCACAATGTGGGGAGAGAACAATCAATTTAATATTTAAAATGTAATCTAATATTTCCTGTCACTCTTTTAAGAAACATAGTCAAAAAACTAAGAAAAAATAATTTTGTGTATTTAAATGGCACCATACAGGATCATGGGATTTTAGAGCTAGGACTACCATAGAGAATATCTGACCTAGCTCTGTGAACTTCCGTATAGATATCATTTGCTATAGGAATCACCTTTATTAGGGCAGGCTTAGAGCTGATGTGCTGAGATATTTTCCTACATGGTTTATCATTAATATGTTTATAGTTACTCTGAATTTATGTTTGTTTCAACAGGGCATACTGCCATGGACGTTGCAAAGGCATATGCTGATTATAGAATAATTGGTCTGATTAAAGAAAAGCTAGATAACTTGCAAAAATCAGCAGAAACTCAAAAACTAAAAGGCAAGACTCCTATACTGAAGACTGAAGGCCCTGAAATTAAGAAAGAAGAGGTAAGAAAACAAGGGTGATTACCCATTAGTAATTGGAACTCTTTAAAAATTTGTTTCGGGGAAGCCAGCAGCACTATTTATATATTGTTGTACAACATGGGCAAGATAATATGCAGTGCATACTTTCAGTACCGTTATTATATAATACTTTTAAAGAAATATCTAATAACATTCCTATCACTGAAGAGCCTAAAAAGTACTCACTGCAAAGAGAATCCATACAAAAACCAAATGGGTTCATCCAAATACAATTAGAATGTTGAAAGTGAAAACCAAAATTTGTATTATATATGTATGTATTTGATCCTGAATTATACAGATTTGATGAGATGGTCCAAATAGGGAAGGAGGCTAATCCTTATGTGGCCTGAAATAAAGCATGATTTTTTCTTTTCTTTTTTTTTTAATTTTGATTTTGTATTTATTAAATCTTTGCTTTAACACAATGCCAGAAAGATTTATCTTACAGTTTCTTCTAGAAGAGTTATAATTTTACATTTTACATTTAGGTCTATGATATATATTGAGTTTATTTGTTTTGATGGTACAAGGTTTGCATAAAAATTGTCTTTAATATGAATATGCAGTTGTTGCAGCATCATTTGAAGATCTTTCCTCACAGAATTCCCTTTGTACTTTTCCGTACAACTACTTTGACACAAGTGTTCTATCTATACATCTATGCATCGATTCCTCTGCCAATATCATACAATATTCATTATTGTAACTATAAAATGTCAGCTCAGATAGTATAAGTCTTCTGCATTACTCTGTTCTCACAGTGCTATAAAGACCTGTGCAAGACTGGGTAATTTTTAAAGAAAATAGGTTTAATTGACTCACAGTTTCATACGGCTGGGGAGGCCTCAAAAAACATGCAATCACGGTGGATGGGAAAGTAGGCGCATTTTACATGGTGACAAGTGAAAGAGAGAGTGTGTGTATAGGAAGAAAGTAGGGGACAAGCCCCTTTTAAAACCAGGAGATCTCTTAGAACTTATTCACAATAATGAGAACAGCATGGAGGAAGCCACCTCTCTAATTCAATCACCTCCTTCCTTTGACATGTGGAGATTACACTTCAGATGAGATTTGGGTGGGGACACAGAGCCAAAACATATCATTCCATCCCTGACCTCTCCAAAATCTCATGTCCTTTCCATGTTTTAAAACCAATCATGCCTTCTCAACAGTCCCCAAAGTCTTACTTCTTCCAGCATTAATCCAGAAGTCCAAGTCCAAGATCTGACCTGAGAAAAGGCAAGTCCCTTCTGCCTATAGGCCTGTAAAGTCAAAAGCAAGTTAGATACCTTCCAGATACAGTGAGGGAACAGACATTAGCTAAATGTTCCCATGTCAAATTGGGAGAAATTGGCCAAAACAAAGGGGATACAGGCCCTATGCAAGTCCAAAATCCAGCAGGGCAGTCATTAAATCTTGCAGCTCCAAAATTATCTCCTTTGACACCATGTCTCACACCCAGAGCACAGTGATGCACAAGGTGGGATCTCAGGGCTCTGGACAGCTCTGTCCCTGTGTATTTGCCAGGGTCAGCCCCCACAGCTGCTTTCATGAGCTTAAAGCATGATTTTTTCTTCATTTTGGTCCACCATATCCCCTTTCATTGCCTTCCATAACCCTTCCCCCTACCTGCCACCTACACCCAGGAATTTTACCACTGAATTCTGGGATATGGAGCCATTGTAACTAGACTATTCTGCAAAATGATTGTAGAAGGTTTTAAACATTTCTGGTAATCCAGAGTGGCTTAAGAACTTCTAAACTGCAGCAGAAAGTTGAAGTTGTTGCCCATGGGAATTACTGAGACATCAAGACT